AGTATACAAAAAGAAGGCAACTACTTCCCTGTGCCTTTATTTTTTTTTTGTCATCAACTTGTACTGTAATTTTTAAGGAGCCAGAAAGGAAATTGCTTAAATACACAGATATATTTTTTAAATGACTCAAATTTAAGTTTTGCACTTTGCCAGTAACCCCATGTGAATTAAAGGCCCACACGCCTCAGCCTGAAAAAGGGGGAATGCTCTGATAATACACGATTATTAGTAGCAGACTGAGATTTGACAGAAGGTCCTATAATTATAAGCTAATTATAAGGCTTTTATTTGTTCTTAAAGGAAAAGGTGGATCCAGAAATGACTGCGAAGAGACTTACTGCGGACCTTACCCCGAATCTGAACCAGAAGTAAAAGCCGTGGTTAATTTTCTCAGAAAGCACAAGGATCGTATTAAAGCATACCTAACAATGCACTCTTACTCCCAGATGGTTCTGTTTCCATATTCATATACTAAAAATATATCTAAAGATCATGATGAGCTGGTAAGAACCCTTCTCATAACAAGCAACTTGTCTATTCCCACATGCCTTATTTTTGGCTTTCATGCACCGTATTTTTCGCACCATAAGACACTCCGGAATATTAGACGCACATTAGTTTTAGAGGAAGAAAACAAGGGGGAAAAAATCTGCCTCCGCCTCCCAACATCCATCCGATATTCATCTGGCTAGTGTCCTTGCAGCAAACAGCCTGGTCAGCTTTAGCACATTATTGCAGCCCCAGCACATGGCTCATCAGGGCACCGCTCCGTTGTGCTCACCACCAGTCAACTGATCTAAGCTGCTGCTGCCGGCGGAAGATACTGGAGCCTTTGCTGCCAAGCAGCTGATTGCCAGTTGGATTGGCCTCCCGGAATACCGCCGATCAGCTGTTCTAGGTGGCGGGGATCACCACAGCCGCTGCCTATCGCTGCCTGTTCGCCACCACCCATCAGCAGTGATCGGGCGATGGTGATAGGTGGTGAATGGGTGGCGATAGGCGGCAGCTACGGTCCCCACTGCCTAGAACAGCCAATCGGTGGTTTTCTGGGAGGCCGATCCAGCTGCCAATCAGCTGTTCGGCAGCGAAGACTCCAGCGTTCCACGGCAGCGCACCAACCCCCTCCCCCCCACCACAATATTCAATCTGTAAGACGCGCAGACATTTCCACCCACTTTTTTGGGGGGTGGGGGGTGGAAGTGCATCTTATTGTGTGAAAAACAGTATTTACTGAGAAAACAGACTTTTGGATCAGGATCCATGTATCCTCTGTATTTATCATTTTGAAGGATGCTTCAAATCTGCGAGGGATATAGAATATTCAGAACAGATGTATACTGTTCTGTATACTCAGTCTCTTGTAAGAGACAATTCATAGAGTGTTTGCACTTTTTCATATCTAACTACAGGGGAATTACATTGAAGGTTATAGTACAATAGCAGCCAGGCAACATGACATACATAGCACAGAAGCAAGTTTGTATGATGTATGCATGTTACTTAGGTCCAAGCAAGTAAACATATGTTGAGTATTTCTCCTAAGATGAATGTTTATAAGCCAGGCTTTCTCCAAACCCCAAACCAGGGAATCTATCCCATTAGAATGAATCAAGAACTGAAATCATGGTTTGTTGGATGTTTGTGACCAATTACAACATATACTATAAGAGAAATAATGTATTAAAACAGATAACTATTTTTAATACATTATATTAAACTAGTATAATGCAGAAAGAAGTGAGTATGATATATTACTTTTTAATTAGTACAAATAATGGAAAAGAAGTCAGGAACTAAAATGCCAAAAGCATTAAATTAAATACCCACATAAAAAGTTTTGGAACCAGAGAGAGTATTTATCTAAATAATTATTTATTTTTGTAAAGAAAAATGAATGATCAAATGGCCAACCCATCAGACTGAGGATCGCTATAGTGAGCAATTAATTACTCTCAGCAATAATAGCATCTTTCAAGGATGCAGAACTTTGTTATTAAGAGTCTACACGCTGAGATGGTTTGGCTTTCCTGACAAAAGGATTTTGCTTGTCCTGTGCTCTTCAAGAGTTTTCACTGCGTAACTCAAAACTGTAAGATTGCTGCATTTAGAGCAGCGTATCTCAAACATTAAGGTGTTGATTTCAGCTCCCAGAATTCCCTGGCCAGCATTTTTGGGAGCTGAATCCATTTGTGGGAGTCTAAGCCCACACATCTTAAAAGCTTCCAAGTTTGAAATTGAAGTGCAATGTTTTCTCCATAGTTACTGGCATTGGATAAGATAAAAGTGCTGCCCCCACGAGGACAATGTTCTTCTTTGGCTCTTCTCCTCCTGTAATCTCACAATCTGTTGCAGCTCAATTCTGGGAAACTCAAAAGCTTGTCAGTCAACAAGCATCTGTTCTATTACCAGACAAAAATACCTACATTTAAAATTAAATTTATTTCTACAGTCGCCTTTTATGCTTGCCTTTGCTAAATGAAAGTCAATGTTGCCCTACACATTTTAGATTCCCCCTTGTCTACACAAGAAAACAATGTCAGCCATAATATACCGGTAACAAAATGGATTTCAGACTACGAACCAAAGCAAACAAACACAGCAGAACTTGCGAAAAGGACACAAAAGAAAAGGGTAAAATCCAAAAGCATGCGATCACTGGATAGAGGGAGATTAATACAAAGCCACGGGCACACAACAGCCTAGTTTTTACATCATGGTAAACCACAGATAGGATTTTAATATCAAGCATGATAGGTCTGGGACCGACACCTCTTCTGCTTACTTGCAGCTTTAGCTTTTTTTATATTTCCTGTAAAAAATGTACATTTTTAAATTTCGTTACAATGTTGTGAAGAATTCAAACTCTCTGGGCCATCCTTGGGAAACTTAGTTTATAAAGGCAGCTCACGAACATCCAGAAAAAAGATTAAAGTCTTTTCTGGACAACTCTCTTTTTGCGATCGGACTTAAAATATACGCTCTCCGTGACGGTTTAATTAACCAGATCTCTTCTTTTCAGCAACTGGTGGCCAACCAAGTGACGGGTGCTATTAGAAACGCCTACCACAACCGCTACGTGGCAGGCTCTGGTGCACAGACAATCTGTAAGTACAGAGAGAACAAAAAGTACCTCTGTTTATCAACAGGCCATGGCTGACCTTGGGTCCTTAATACTTCTGCTTTCCCTCATAGATTTGGCCCCAGGTGGTTCGGATGACTGGGCTTACGACCAAGGTATTAAGTATTCTTTTACTTTTGAGCTTCGGGACAAAGGAAGATATGGATTCTTACTTCCTCAGCATCTCATTAAGCCAACCTGCTACGAAGCAATCACCGGAATCAAAATCATAGCTTCACATGTGATTAACAATATGTAAACCATGCCATCCCATTTTGGCATTATGCAGCACAGCATTACACACAGACCACTTCAT